GATTTGTAAGGTAGAATTGGGATTATGATAGTGGAGCAGGGGGGAGGAAGCGTTTAGGAACTAGAAGAAAGTTGTATGTTTTTTTCATCATTGCTACACTGCACCCTGACTGGCTCGTCAGAGTTGTACTTTTATTATGTTGGCGTGTAACCAACTACGGTACTGCAAAATTTAGTGACTTAAAGCAATACTTTTCGTTTGCTATTCTGAGAATTTGGGCAGGGCTCAGCTGGAGAATACTTTTACCAAGGCACCATTGGGACTCTGTACCTGGTTCCATTCACGTGGTGACTGGGCGTAGATGGAATGTCCAAGAAAACTTTTCTCAATTATTCAGCTTTCTCATTGCTCCACAAAGTAGCCACTCTCTGCATGGATTGTTAGGGATTCCTTACAGAATAGTGGTCTCAGGGTAACTGGACTTGTTAACTGGTAAGCTGGCTTCTAAGAGGGACAAGTAGAAGCCTAAGTTATATAGTACTACTCCACTCACATTCTCCTGGTACAAATTAGCCCTGTTATCAGGCTAGATTGAAGGGAAGAGGAAAAGGAAAAAAGGAAAAAGTAAAGAATTTTCAGCCACTTTAATCCACCTCCTATTTCTACCCCTGTACTTCCTGTCCTATTTTTATAATGCATAAGAAATATTTTCTTATATTTAAATTTGTTTTCTAAATCTATATATTTAACTTAATATATGGCAGAGGGGTTTTTTTTGCCCTGAGAAGCTGTTATAAAATTATTGGTGCATTTTAGGCATTTATGCAATGATCATACCAAAGAATTAAAAAAATGTACTATTACCCCACAATATTTTTGTGACAGGTTCCCAAATGAAGAAGAAGAAAGTTCCTTTCAGTGTGATTTTCATTAACAGTAGTGGTCTCAAAATTGAGATTCCATGTGGATGATAACCACATATTAAATTACAGGACAACTAGGAATGATTCATTGGGTAGTTGAATAAAGTAATAGAATTTATAGGGGACTAGCTTGGAGGTGTTTAAAAGAACAGAACATTTTTGTTTGCTAAATTATCCTAGAGGTGAATTTAAGAGTAAAATGTAATTGACCCAGGAATTTTAAGGACACAGAAAAGTGCATAAAGTTTTATTTTGGTGCTCATCACAGAATTATTTTTAAAGTGTAGTAATATCGAGTCTCAGTCAGTAAGATGAAAGCAATTAAACAAATTACTTATCTCTGTGATAAAATGCCATTTGGTGGATTAATTGAATTGGAAAAGTTTGATGGGGAAAGGTTGTATTTCTAAATGAAAAAACATTGTGATACATCATTTTTAAAATCCAGTGTTTTTTTTTAATTGTGCATGTATAATAATATACAGGAAAAATATCAAAATATTAAGTTGTTTCATGGTTCAGAGATTATAGAGTTCCAATACTCTATTTTTAATTTTAAAATATACATGCACATAAAAGAAAATGATTATCTCTAAAAAGATAAAAGCACACATGAAATTGTGCCTCACATGCTTGCAAAACAATAGATAAGGAGACCACAGAAGAACTGGTTCATTTGAATTATGACATTGCACTAGAATACTGAATATACTATAGTCTGCCAGAAGAACAAACAAATCTATCTTG